GTTCCGTTAAAACTGACCTGGAGTTTATATTCGAATCTTATTAGGATATGATGTAACGTTCTTGACGTCAGCCGTTATTCAAAGTGCCTCAAGTGAGTGCAGGCGTTTGCATATCTCGAAGAATGTATAATATATTATATATTCCCATATTCTTGTAGATCGCTGTACAGCTTTATACTCACTAATATCTTCGCTCATTGAACACAGCACGATCTAAGTATTACTACTTAAACTCCTCGACCCGGTCATGAATTTACGCTCAATCAACAAAATGTAGAGGAATCAAATACGGGAGAGCTTGAGTAAATAAACTATTGCAGTGGCTTAGCGACTTGCGTTCACTAGTTATTTTCAAGTTTCACTTAGCTTAGTAACGAGTCGTTACATGACTGTATTTATAAGTCAAACAGGGGAGCGGTCGGCGGCTATAACAAACACTCAAACAAGCTGCGGACGTGTTAGTGTGTCACAAGGTCGGAATGGGCTTTGCCGATGGGATTAACACTGTCTTTTCATCGATGCTGGTTAAATGGATGGAGACGCTGGCCTTTTCTTTGCTTCTATTCGAAGTTTGAAGTAATACGCCAAATTAATAATACATAGACGATGAATTGTTACAAAGATCGTGAGTTAATTTTCAACGTTGTCTTAATCTGATGGGTGAGGATTGACTGTTGTGTGTTATTTGTACGATTTTAACAATTCTGTTTCTGGCAGGGTTTATAGTAGAAGCTTGCACAATGATACTGTCAGTACATGTTGAAAAATAAACTTTAACAGATTACAAATTTACTAATATAAATAATCTCTCGATTATAAACGTATAAGAATGTGTCCTATTTGAAGATGAATAAAATAAATTCAATTATAGCGCTGACAAAACCGTTCAAAACTATTTTATTGTATGATTTACCACGTACTTGGCAGTATAAGGAAAACGTCTAGACCTCCCATAAAGTCATTCGAAACAATATAACGAACTATCTTCATCGTAAAATTTATCAATCATCAGTGGGGAAGCGTGGCGGACTGATGTAAAGTGTATAATATGAGTACTTTACTTATCGAAGCCTACCAATATCCTATAAGGCATCAAGATGGTGTAAGCACCATTTGCGTAGCACAAGTAAAGTTTGAATTCAAATTGAGAATTAAAATATCTTTATTCCAATAGACGCTGGCGTGTTCTTAAGTAAGGCGTAAGTTACCACCGGGTCGGAAGTTTATGTTGTGAAGGGACCGGCAAGGAACTCAACAGTTTCAGAAATTAGGAATTCAAACACACCAGCCGTTGCTGAATTAGCGTGAATGTAAAGCATTCACGAATTCGTTCGCTTCAAATTTAATTAAAAATTATTTATAAAATAAAAATATAAAATCTTATTTCAAATTTTCTAACATGAAACTTTAAAATGTGGGGATTCGAACCTGATTCTAACCTAGCTGCGAAGCTACGCGGTCGTCATCCTCCTCGCTACGAGTCATAGGCTATGAGTTTTTAAAAACGCGAGGAAAACAAAGTATAATTTCAAAGAAAGCGAAAAAGAGGTCCTTTTAAAATAGAAAAAAACTTGAAGCACACAAAATACAGACGGGCCGTATCTTTGGTATCTGTGGGTCGAAGGGCGACTGTTACCGTTCTTTTACTCGGCCAACCTGTCCGTCTGTGTGTCATACGGCCGCGCTAATAGAACCGGTCTTGTACAAATGTTTGGACGGGGAACATTCTATCGCTTATTGCTTATTTACTTTCTAGAGGAGCTAAATACTAACAATTTTAAAAATGTACAAAAATACAAGCTCTCGTTTTTTTTTATGGGAGTATTTTACTAATTTTAAATTTTAATTGATTTTAAAAATATGTAGATAAAACAGTTGCAAATTTTTCGCCGCTACAATTAAACTTGTGTTGTATTCAGGAAGCGTCGAGACACTATCTATTAATAAGCTAAACGTTCGATATCCACACTGCGTATAATCAAAGTCTTATTTACTGTGTTTTATTGCTCTTGCAGCGATGCGTGGCATCATCTATTGTGATTCTTTAACAGCTATCACACTTTCTCAAATAACAGCTTCACAAGGACTATTTGAAAATTAGCGACTTGTTCTCACCTTTTGTGCTCTTCGCTCTCATCTTTGTTTATCATTATCATTTCAGCCCGTTTCAGTCCACCGTTGAACAAGCACACTGTATTTTGAAAATTCTGAGCCACCTGCAACCATCGCCTTTGTTATTGAAATTAAATTTTTTATTTTTCACCCCTTTATAAAAGCCGCGATAGCTCATTTTCCGGGCGCTCGCTTCTAATTCAAAATACTCCAGTAAAATTTTAAGTGCTGGCTTAACACGTGCTCAGCGAAAGATAGCATCTTATGGAAACCCGCATATTTTCGAAATGATAACAAAATAAATATTTCGAGGATATGCGAAGTCTGTACAGAGCAGGCGTTTGCCTAGCGGGACGTGTAGGCTGTTGTTTACTTCTTTATTTTTTATACAATTTTTTTATTTAATCCACGTTGTTCCCATTTAACGTGAAGCTAACGCACGTGCAACTCTACATGGGTTGTCATCATTTTGGATCAGGTGAAACTGGTGCTACTTGTCCTCTATCTTTCGTTAAAATGTATCAGAAATTCGCAGAATGCCCTTTCCACCATTGTCTGATGTGGACTGATGATTATCTTAAATTATACATATTTTATTTACTCACCACACATCAAAAATAAAACATTTCTTATAACATATATGTGAATATCTTCTTTCGCGGTCATCAGACGTTTAGTCACCCCTTCCCTCGATACATCACTTTTAGATATACGTTGCAAAACTCAATGCTTGAGAGGAAATACGTATGAACATATTATGTCTATTAAATGTTCCTACTTTTGCGACCGTTTGTATACCGCGCGCTCTAAGACGAAATTAAGCGAGCACAATTTTAGCACGGCTCACGCTCCGTTTCCCGTGGTGAGAACGAGACCAGGCGATTAGATATGTATGTGGATTGCGGTAAAGCGTTCATCTGCACTCAGATGGAACAGCTGTAGCCAGATGAGCGCGCATGTTACTGCTTGCTAGATGCATGTAGAAACAATGAAACGCGCATACTTTTTTATGTGAGAATGGTGCAAGCAACCTGGAGGTTTTGTTGACCTGATGTTAGGTGATAATATTTGCAACACAGGGTTGCAGGTGCATTGCCACCTAATAATTAAGTGGGCTCCAGCTACCTCACTAGCCTGACTAAACACTTTAGTTCCACTTCACAACAGTTTTCTTGAACTTCACGCCAGTTTTCTATGAGTGCGTGGTACTGTATGGGGAAGTATCTCCAACCTGCCCATTCGTGCAACAGCGACGACTGTTGTGTGGCCCTACCACAGTTGTAAACCTAACCTAACCAAACATATTGTAAAAGACAATCCATCTTTATTAATCTGTTTGTTTTTAACAGTTCTGTCTGTTACAGATTATAAGATATATACAGACAGATTATAACACGATACGAACTAGTCCTGTTTGCATGATTATTTTTATAGTATGTTAATATGTTACCTAATGGCTATTATATATGTCGTAGTATATGTTTGGTTGTGATAGGCAAGTAAGAAATCGACTTGTCTTACATAGCTTTTTCCACCTTTTCCTCGGACGAAATTTCATGTGGTTTTTATGTAAAGATATCTCCAACTTCACAGTATCTGTAAATAGTACAATAAACATAGGCTGAATCTTTATTCTTATATATAAAACTGAATTGCTGTTCGTTAGTCTCGCTAGAACTCGAGAACGGCTGGACCGAATTGGCTAATTTTGATTCTGAAATATTTGTGGCAGTCCAGGGAAGGTTTAAACGATGAGAAATTATGGAAAAATTGCATGGAAAATCGAAATAGCAACAATTTTATTTTCCCATACACACTGTACCTGTCAACTATATCTGTGTAACCTGTCAAACACTTTATGCGTGCGTTCTGATTCCCCTAGAAATAATTTATATGGCAAAACAACGTTTGCCGAGTCAGCTAGTACAGATATAGAAAGCATTAACCGGCAGACGCTGTGGCGTCTAGTAGCAATTTACAGTTACTTCAGAAAATACCGGCGATTCGCTAGATAGTAACTTTTAGCGCTGCATTCAATCGTTATATTTGTGCGACTGTTTTAGATAAGAGCCCTGACAACTAGTGTTCGAGCATATGTTATTTTAGGAAATTATTGCTTTGCTGAAATTGTGTTCGCCCTAATGAAAATCGATCGTCTCAAACCGAAAAATATCTGACACGTTGACTAAAGACCCAGGCGCAATACTGTCAGTAGCTAATTGTGCAAATTATAAACATATTTACGTCCATTCTAAAGTTTATGTTACCTACTCTAATAAATAAGACGTCAGCGACTTTATCTGCCCTTTCATGGGTTGAATTGATAAAACTGTAGGTTATTCAGACCAATGATGTATTCCCAGATGCTAAACGACTTAATGTAAAACAAGCAAATAGTAAATGTGTCACTCAATATAAGACATTCAATGCCGGGTTATTTTTTACAATAATTACTTTTAAATTCCGTTCCTAATTCTCGATAATTTTAACGATTTTATAATGTGCATACACGAAGGATTAGGGATAGATAGGTAAGAAGTCTATGGTTCGTAAAAAGTCAGTAGGTGTGATTGTTTATGGATTTTACTTACTCCTAATAGGGCAGCAGTTCCAAATGTAAAAACGTAGGTACCTACTTCTGTTTCTCCTTCCAATAAGTTCGCCTCACTCTTCGATAATTTATCTTAGTAACATCTTTCTACTCAGTGACCGTTATCTAGAACAGCCCCCTTTCCGCACATTCCACATAAAGTAATGACGCTAAAGCGACATTCACATCGAATGCAAAACACTTTTAGATTGACCGTGATTATTTCATCCCCGAGTTCACGCCGGTGGGCCATCACAAGAAGTCGGTGAACAATTCAGAGCGCAATTAGGCGCGTTCACACGTGCGCAATCAGCGACGTCATCAGATGGCGGGGCGGCCATCTTGTGCGGTAGTCGCTCCCAAGATGGCGTCTCGGCGCGGAAGCGCGGGAATAATTTTCCGCGTCCTTGCCCGCGCCGCCGTTACCGTTAACGCTTTGATGATGGTCACCGTCGTCTCGGTGCAGAATCGCAGCTGCGAATCGAACGTCACTCTTTTGTGCACAGCAGTTAAGCAAAGTTGTGGATCGACTGCAAATACTTTTCATCTCTTTCCTGCTGTAGAAAAATCTAATGTGCAGTCAACTCCGAACATAAACACAAACATTTAATGGTGACACTCGGAACCGGAAAGATTTTTCTCATATCATAAAGTTATTATGACTTGAGAACAATCTTGTGTCCAGTGAGAATCGAACCAACAACATTCAAGGAAATAATAAGGAGCAAGACGATTTTATTTCATGGCTAAAACTAAGACATGTAGTGCAAACGACGTGCAATGTATAATGCTCACTTTGTATTTGTACACGCTGGGACACAGAACACAGTGTCGCTTTTAATGGGTTCCATTGTGTGAAAGTCTAGAACACCTATTGAAAATGTGCTGTTATTTTCCCAAATAAATAAATAGATGGTACAAGTATAATATGTACGACCACCAGTCTGAGTGAATTCTACAATTTCACTCTATATTTACATATTGAAGATAGATTTATATACTGTAGATGTGAGCACATCTACAGTATATGAGATTTTTTTATCTACGGTATATGAGATTTTGAGTTTTTTAAAGAACGTAGTTCCGATAATAAAGTGAATTACGCCCAGCCAAATGAAATAACTTATCTTAAATGAACTGTACATAATCGAAATATGGCCAATCTGGATAATCTAAATACAGTTTAAGGGATATCGAAAGACAAAACTTCAGTTTCCGGCCAAGAAAATTAGAGTATCGCACCAAGTATTTTTCTACTTTTCGTCGTAATAAATTAAGCAGTAATTTCGATTGGTACAAAATTTCTTAAACTTTAACACTCCACTTATTAACAACCAGGTAGTCGCAACCCTCCCACAATAACTGGCCGGCAAACGATGAGTAGACCTTATTAATCATTATTTATTGTGCTGTTACAACATCTGATGTACGCTGCAATTTAAACAAATAAATGTACAGCTACGGTATTGCGATATTATTAAGAATGGAATGTGATATCTTATTTCTAAACTACCCATCACTGTACCGATACAAAAGTTTTTGCACTTTTGAATAACTAATATATTACTGTGAAACTATGCATATTTTATCATTTGTAAAACAAGTCTTATTTAGAAATTCTTCGTAGGTAGTACACGGAAAAAAGTGTAAAGCTGCGCTAAATTATTAATTATTTCATAGAATATTAAAAATTTTGACAAAACTGTAAAAAAATCTCATTCTTTCAGTACGTAGACGCAGTAAATGCTTGGAGGTAGGATACGACTTAAGGACCTTCAAGAAGAGCGTATCCATCTTCGAGAGTCGTTGAAGTTGCAATTTCTGCGGTATTATGAAGTGTGTGAGGGTCCATATGTCATTAATGTCGCGACAATGGCCTTCCTAGTCTGCCATCTTATCTATAAGAATCGTAACAGCCGACCATCGATGGCCGCGTCCAGACAATTTACCATTATCCCCGGCTCGCCCCGGGGGCCGTAGATCACCGCTAACAGAACTGGTTTTATCAATTACCGAGCGGCGCATCCGAGGTAAATTGGCACCAGGAAGCGCCGATATTTAATACTGACCGTTTGTTTTTCCATTACAGCGGTCCCAGACCGTCTCATTAATAATGCTCTATGGGATTTGTGCGCAGCGGATCCCTCTTTATTAGACGCTGGCCGCACTTAGACCGCGTTTCGAGCGCTATCGGCGCTGCTTTAAATGTTCCGTTAAACACAGTGATTGAGAATGCGATTCCCTCGAATAAGTGTATCATCTACTGTTTCAGTCTAGCTTATAGGTTTTGTGGAATGCAATTATTAATTATTTCACGTTATTTAAATTTTTACTGTGCTAAGATGAAACATTAAAATTTGTAGAAAGAGATACGTCAAGCTTTACTTGATATGTGAAAAAACAATTTAGATAAAAACATTACAATAATATTGAGATTTTCGTCGGTGTCGCAATCAGCTGTTTAGTTTAAGCGTCTGGGTGCGAATCCGGAAGACAAATTTTAAGATTTTTTTTAAGAACAATTTGTAATAGAGCATCTATATCCTCGTTGATTAATATTTATAGCCTATGGCGTCATTCCAATTATTTTTGCAAGTCTGTGATATGTAAATAAATAACGTGCAATACTCGTATAAGTTCTCACATCTTACAATGGCAATCCGCAAACTCATGTCAAGTCAATATTAAAGCCACTAGCATTAGATCGATCGTTATTTTATTACGATCATAACAATTGACGCCATTAACGTTTACTGCAAAAAAAGCGCAAAAAGGTCACAGCAACGAAACAAAAACGTCGAATCGCGGAAACGGAAGTGCAAGACCTTGTGCATCTTCTTTATTCAGAAATTAAACGCGGACTCGAGCAGCAAGTTTAACGCAATGACCGCATGAGCGCAAATTTATCTTTGAGTACGTACGTTGCGCATACAAGGCACACAAATTAGCACGGATAAATATATGTTAAGCAAACAGTCGTTTTAACGCTGCAGTGACTATACATATTCGAAAATAATAGAATTGGTTAGGCATGCTAAAACCACACAATCATTTGCAGATTCATTTATATAATAAGACTAGTGACATCAAGAAACAACTAAGTATAAACAGTTTTAAACGATTATTATTCAAATGCTAAATAACAATGTAGAAGAAGGCGTTAAGATTTTCGTCGCTGTGGCTATCAGCCGTTTAGCTCAGTGGCTAGAGCGTCAGGCCGCGAATGCCGAAGACGTGGGTTCGATTCCCACAGCGGCGACAATCTTTTCGTACTTTTTCTACATGTTTTAAACGTTTTGTAAAAGCTACCCTAATAGAAAGGATTTATTATAATTTCGAAGAATACATTGAGGATGTGTGGAAATAACTCTTGTTCTGTACTTGTTAAGTCCCCTGCCTGCTGCTAAAAAAATGAGAGAACTATACCGCAGAATTTCTTGCCGATGCCTCTCTGGACGGGTGTGAATACGAGAATCGGTGGTAGTTTTTGACGTTCAATAAAAGCTTAAAGCAAGCCTATATTGAACAAAGAAATTTTGTCATAGATGTATTTATAATTATGTTGATAAAATGACTCTGTGTTGGCTTGGCTGATATTTATTTATTTATTTATTAGGTCTGCCAGTAGATGTTACATTAAAAACAATGTTACATGAAACATGAATTAATGTTACAACTAAATGTACATCTAATTAAGAGGCAAACACAGCATGCTTAATAATTAAAACAAAAAAATAATGAAAATGATATAAAGTAATGTATCATAAAATTATCACAATTAACACGGGCTAACATTTAAACCCGGAAGATTAGATATAACCAAAGAATTTTATGATCTTGGTATCTTAGAGGAAATAGTCTAGAGGAAATAGTCATTTTAAGGTCGGCATTTATTTAAACGAGTGAAACTAAGATCAAATAGCTAATAAGGTTCTAAATACAGTAAGTTACAACGCATTGCGTGGGTTAGTGAAAGTCCAGTGGCCGAGACCTGGAAAATTCGAATATCAGTAATGCACCAATGGTTATACCGTTTACAGAATATCTCGTGCAATTGGGTCCTGAACACGGTGACACAACATAAAATAAACAATGGGAGACTAAGGAGCAGTAGCCAGTTCTATCCATACTATAGTGCAGTGATTCTCAACCACTGTGCCGCGGCACTTTTGTGTGCCGCCAAATTTCAAAAGTGTGCCGCCAAATTTTGCAAATATATAATAATGTTAATATTATTAAATTATATCATTTAAAAAGAAAAATATTTTTTGGCATTAGCAAACATTAAAACTAAAAATAGATCAAGATTGTTAAATGTAGAAGACGATATGAGAGTAGCAATGTCATTTTTACGACCAAATATAAATGAAATTATCAAAAAACATCAAGCGCAAATTTCGCATTAAAATATTTTTATTATGTAATTGTAATTAATCCCTTAATAAACGTTTAGTTCTTGTTGTAGTATGTATTAGTTTATTTCGTATATTTAAAATTTTTGTCATAAACTATTTATGCAGTGTGTTGTAGTAAGTAAATAATTTTTATCTTTTTCTTTGTGTGCCGCCAAATTTTGAAATCGTTTAATATGTGCCGCAACAAAAAAAAGGTTGAGAATCACTGCTATAGTGCATAAGAGGAGTTGTATATAAAACGATTTTACGAGTTCACTTGTCAGTGCGGATGTACCGACGGCACAGAACTTGCGCTCGAGTGGCCTCGGCCGTGCACGTGGCATCTCGCATATAAATGCGAATCGCGCTGTTTTCTTATAAGAGCTTTCTTTCTTCGATTTGCAATCTCGCAAATGTTGCAAACGTCCATGGGCGGAACTTATCACTAAATATGTGCTTGGCAGTTCAGCTCGCGTGCCACCTTCTCACATAAAAAGCTGTTCCTTACCGCAACCATCACATAGCAATGAGCCATCACTTAAAATTGAAACGTGAAACCTATGACTTATAAAATAAGTTACATAAGATTGATCTTGATTCTCGTATAGCAATTGAAGAGCCGTAAAATACAATAGGCCTATGGGAAGTAAAGTACGAAGTAAGATAAATATAAATTCCGTGGTTTCTGTCAATAATCTCTCCAGTGGAATTTTTTAAATCGTCTGAAAGGGTCATGTTAGTGGTGTAGAGTTTTATATTTGTTTTATTTAGTTCATGAATCAAGATTACCATCTAAGATGACGGGCTTGAAGACATTTAATATACCAGATATTCGTTCGCTCCAACCTTTTATTATATATTCTCACGATGTATCACGGTGAAAGTTAAAACCGATGTATATTTATTGGACTTCTATTAGAATTAAAAGGTAGATTTGTTTGTAATGGACATTTTTGATTCATCGTTCGGTACGCTGGTATTGCCTCGTCCAAATCGTTAAGCAGTTCAAAGTCACGCTCTTCAAAACTGGCCATATGATGGCCTAAATTCTTCTGATATTTAATCCGCGTGAAAGTGACGATAAATCATAGTTTCGAACCATTAAGAATGTAAAACCTTCTCTCTTCCTACGCGTCAATTAAATCTTCCCAGATCGTCGTAGTTTAACTTCGACTGGAGTTTCGAATCTGAGCTTATGGTGTAGATTTAATTGGGTTCTCCCGAAACGACGCAACACAGCACTTTTTTGATGCTATAAGTATTAAACTGAGAACGCTATATAATTAACATCTGCTCGCGTTGGCTATCTTATTAATTCGTCCATAATATGCACAGTTTTCTTTGATCGAACAAGTACAAGGAACAAGCGTACATTATTAGCTATTATATTCCTTTATTTATTTTCTTTTCTATCTCCATTTTTGCGTACACTACAGTCTAATAATATACCATATCCGTCCATCCGTCAAAAGGCGTCCTGTAGATCGTGTCAGGAATTATACATACATACGTACGTTCTGAAAACATTACCCTCCATCGACAGTCGGGTAAAAAGCAGCTTAAATACTACAACCATACAGTTCCTTTTTATTACGTTGTCAATGCCCAGAATGGTAGACGTAATTTCTTTTTTTAAAATCTTTTGTTGGTATTAATATATATATAAATAAATTCCAATTCCAAATCAATTGTTATGCAACACATCAGTACAATCTTTGTGCCAGCTCTTACTTGTTCCTTAGGCATTTTTTCAATTATAAAGTTCCTAGTTACTTATGCTCGCAGTCGCTTTACCTACGATTTAGTTAGTTTTTTTGTCCGCTGTAGCCCAGCAGCTGCAGCAGAATTGAGTCCATTTGACCGGCTGAATACCGGTGTCTCACAGGAGAGCGGTATAAAGTATGATCATGTTTACATGATAACCGGGGTCTCTCGCTCAGGTCGGCACTCAGTTGGCCACCACCAAACATCAGTCAAACGCTGGCTCATTTTCCGTCTCTATAGACAAGGAATGTGACTAACTCCTTGTAATATGGTTGCAGATGAAGTGGGCGCAGTGAGGGCGGGATGGGGCAGACGGGCAGCCAGCCGGCGGCCGCGTACCCTCAGCGCGGGCGGCGCTCCAACACTCTGCCCCACGAGCCGCTACGACTCGCGCCCAAGGTACAGGCGAACTCCTCACACCGTCTCCCCTTTGACGGACAGCAGAAAGGGCCGACACGTTTGAACTTTTTGATAAAACGGTTGAACCGGACGTTTTTTTATGTCAAAAAGGGGCAAATAGCTACAAATGGAAGATTTGCAAATGCGTTGCCTGCCTTTAGGAAAGAACTTGCTCTCTTCTTGAAGGTTCCCAGGTAGTAACGGTTCGGAGAGACCGGCGGCGGCAGCTGGGTCCACAGAGCGGTTGTGCGAGGCAGGGAATGCCTGAAAACCGCGCTGTTGTGGAATGCTGGATAGGCAGGTGGTGTGAATGAACGTCGCTGCGTAGCCTTCCTTATAAACTTTTTGAACAATTAACTCTACTCCGAAGTAAACATTGCAATGTAGGACGACTCTCCACTAGATCGAGTAACGACCTGTACAAATGTCAGGCAAGCCGATGTATGCTCAGTCTAGTGTTTCGTGGCCGTCTGTGGGGGAGGCCTATGTTCAGCAGTGGAATCAAAAAGGCTGAAATGATGATGATTTTTATTAATCGCATACTAAATAGCTAATTATCTATTACTCGATCATGGATAATTTAATTCAGTAAGAACGTATTGAAAAAAAAAAATGAGAAAAGCATATCTTTGTTCCAGGTCCTACCATCGCTACCGGAGTCACCGTGCTTGCGGAGTACAGACAATGGTGCCATCCTTCAGTCTGGTGGCACGATCAGCGGCCGCAGGCCTGGTTCCTTGCTCCAGGAGGGCTCTAGATCTACACAGGGCCTTGGGGTATGCCAAATTGCCTTTTGAATAATCCTAATTAGGATCTGGCGACGTCGCCCGTGAAATGTTATTAAATGCCGCAATTCAAACTGAGTATTTAACCTTAGTGTCAAATTACATAAGCCAAGTTATTAGATATAAAATCAATACTTCAGAAGAGCTCGCTGTTTTTTTTATTAAGGTTACTGCCATCTATATGATTTGAATGGATAGAAATAAAAACTAATCTAGCACTTTAACTAATTCGAGCTTTAACGATATTTTTTTATTTTTTATCGATTGAAAACTTGTCAGTAGCAAGGATGTTGTATTTCTGTCTTTCCTTTACGCAGAAACGGGACGGCATTATTTTATGTATACAGAAAATGTATTTTTGAATGATGTCTTGATGATTTGAATGATTGATGAGTCTAAAGCTGTCGCTTTGCTTTAAGTCGATTAATAAACCACGGAATAAAAATGTACGTTAGCAAAGCCCAGAATAAAGTATAAAAGAGCCAATATTTTCACAATTGCAGCACTCAAGCGTGTTTAGGTCGCGCTCCGCTGGCACCCCGGGGGATCCAGGCGAGATGTGGCCCAGAGAGCGTGATCCCCTCCACCGCTCTCACACCAACTTCGACTTTAGACACAACGACAGTAAGTTCAAAACATATTATCACCGACAAACATTTCGATTCATAAAACATGAAGATCTCGTTTTTACTAATAGTCGTTACTGAACTAATAATGCAATAGTCAATATAAATACCGTTATGGTAAAGACTTGTAAATGTGAATAATTAAACGGGATGAATCACTTTTTGTCGAAATAAGATATTTTAATATTTATGTGTATTGTACATAGTACGGCATTTTATTCAACGTATAAACGATGAAAAGGCAACGGAATATATTTCATTGATAATTATTTGCAGACGGTAGTTTAAGCAAAAGGTTCGGCTCCGAACCCGATCTGAGGGTAGAAGAGGAACAGCAGAAGCAGAGAAATCCACCAAACAACAAACACTTTCGTAAAAAGTACCGAGCTCCACCGCCTCCTCGCAATGATGTAAGAATCACACCTACTCTCAGCATTTAAAAATTTCATATAAAATATAAATGTACAAATATCTCATTACCTTTAACTTAAATATAATCTAATACTTTTTTTATACTTTTAGCGGCGAGGAGGTTCCTCGCCTGATTCCAGTCTCGGCAAAGCGAGACCGGAACCCCAAAGAAAACTCAGGTTGTTCAAAACAAGAAACGAAACCAAAAAAACTAACGGTCACGCCGACTCGAAGATGCCGACCTTCAAAAGCACCTACACCGATTTCAAATCGCTGGATCTCAATGATCAGTCGTTCGAGAGGAGGTACAAGTCTCCTTACAAGGATAAAGATCACCACATTAAGTACCCAGATAGCAGGGACATGGTGCAGAGCTCAGTTTCACTGAAGAGAGAGGAAAGACTGTTGCAAAACAAACAGGACGCGAAGAAAACGAGGGCGGACGTGGTTGGCGGGTGCAGAGCGAGAACTGCCAAAACAGGTGACCAAAGTGAAGCGTGGAAGACGCCGCTCTTCAACAGGAACTTCAGATACTCGGAGAGATTTAAAAAAGACGACTGCGATCATTCAACATTAAGGAGGGAGAAGACATTTGATAATTCACTCGTCGAATCGAACAGGCATAGCGGTACACCTAAAGACCCGTTTGATGTAGATCCAAAGACCACGAACGATCAAATAGACGGCAAGCTCAGCCCGCTAGCTGAGGGCAGCAAACCACTGAGGAAATCTCTACCTTCATTACTGCCGAGAAATGAAGAAAAAGATGAATTTCAAGCGGAACTGAAAAAGGCAACGAGTAGGATAAGAAACGAATTAGGGAATAAAGTTAATGTAAGCGAAAACAAAACTAGTCAACATAATAGATTCGGTGTGGAGCGACCGAACCCAACGAAAAGCGCAGTCCAGGCTAAAGTCAACGAATCTAGTCTCAAAGCGGGTGTGAAGGTCAAACAGGATGCTAAGACGCCTATCAGCAGGCGGCCTTTGACCAGGACACAAGAGCCTAAGGCAAAAACCGCCCCGTTAGGGAAAGTTTCCAGAAACAGCGAGACGAATAAGCTCAAACATGACACGAAGGAAAACAATCGCCCGATGCCGGATAGAGGCCAGGCTTCCGGCAAGGAGTCCACTCCGGAGCATTCGCCGACTAGGAAAAGGGATTTGCCGGCGAGCAATGTTTTACAACCAAAGTAAGAACTTTTTTCTATTTATTAATCAAATGTAGTTAAGTGAAAAAGTTGATTCAGATCTACTTAACTTAACAACTACGCCTCTTGCTTGACTTGATGATGATGTGATGATGTGATGATAAAACTAGGCGTTCCTTTATGAACTTTAAATGAAGATATCACAATATGCTTTTCGTCTAAAAATCTTGAGAAACATATGATATTTTTCGTAAAAAATCATATCTTTAAGTCTACATTGACCAAACTGAATCAGTCGCTTTTGCAAACATAGTATTTCCCTAAATAAAATATAATTTCAGACAGAAACCAGTACCGTCGAAGCAGTTCTACTTCGGCATGATAGAAAGCAAGCAAACGGAGAGCCAGGAGCATTTGAAGGACTTCCCAGGCCTGGGCGGCCCCATCATCGAGGAACTGAACAACTTTCATCTTATAGAGCAGAAGCTTCTGAGTTATCACGATGACGACGCAGAGCTCGAGAAGTTCAACGAGAAGTTCAAAGAAGACTGCAAATTGAGAAATAGTAAGCCTCTTCTAAATCAATATTCTCACCACAAAAATACTGTCCCGAAATTTTGATTTTGTTGTTGCTTGTTCTTTTGCTTTCGTCTTGCTTATTCTATGACTGTTCATACATTTTCAAGGCAGCTCCAAACAGAATAGATCTTGGTGATTTACAATTAAACAACTAATATACACAATTGTATGTAGGTAAGGAACATTTTATCAAAAATTTATATCGTATCGTTGGCCCTACATCAAATTGCTATAACATAGTGTATATAACTCGTATGGATGGATCGCAAAGTGTGGTCCATCCATACGACTCAATATTACTATGGCATTATCACTGATGGTAGTCAAGTACTAAACAGTTCGTAAAGAAATAATCAAGAGTGTTCCTTGGACTGTAGTCTCGCCCGAGTCTGCGCTGTCTTCAGCCGGCTCCGAGGGCTCGGCTGGCTCGTTGTCCGAAAAGTCTGCCGGGATCGCCCTTCGTCTGCGCCCCACGCTACCCAAGAAGCTGCCATCCTCAACGCACTTCTCGGCGGCGGCGGCGTGGCGTCAACTCGCCTCCCTGGACGCACATCTGGCGTCTGGTAAGAACTATTGCGTTTATATTGTGCCTGCAACTTTTGCTAACGTCTTATTGCCTCAACTGCTATTAGAGATATAATGATAGAAACACAGAAGGTCTAGGAGTAAGGGGAAGTTGTGTATTAATTATTAAAATCGTTATCAAATTGAATAGAATAGACTTTGTTGCACACAAAGAAATGCAAAAGGAAAATGCAGGTAACATTGTACTAAGGTAAAAATTTCTTCCAGGCAACCTTAATAAACCTTAACCAAAGTGAATAATTATAATCTCAACGAACATGATTTGCGTAACTTATTTGCCTATAGTTCACAAGCTCTACATCTATTTCTTATAACCGGTCCAAGGGTTTGTTCGCTGTAATTACGAGGGGACTACAGATCTTGACAACCACTTATTTGTTCGCTGTAATCATAAGCGGAATACAGTTTATACCCGAAACATCTTTCCGGAATACTACGCCCTTTACAACAGAAAGCCAACCGTTGGCGGTGGAGACCAAGATGACGGGCAACATATCGGCGGAGTCCTCGCCCCGTTCCGACCCGTCGGTGGACAAGTCCGGAGACTCGGGCATTTCCGGAGACCACGCGCACAGCGACCACCGGATAGACTCGCCGTCTACACACCACGTGAGAAAACCTTTTGTTAATCTTCTGAAAACGTTATTAAATTTATATTGAAGTGGGTGAGATAGTCAAAGTCAAAGTCAAAGTCAAAATGTCTTTATTCAACATAGGCTTATTTTAAGCTCTTATTGAACGTCAAAAACTACCACCGGTTCACTAAACTAGACCTGCAAGAGAAGAACCCGCAAGAAACTCTGCGGTCATATATTTATATTTTATTTCTATTTTCTATTTTTTTTTAAGTATTTAAGTATATACACAAAATTATTTTAGTATAATTTAGCAGGAGCCAGGGGACTTGCAAGTGCAGAGCAAGAGTCATTTCCACACATCCTTGTCCTCAATGTACTCCTCGACATTATAATAAGCCCTTTCCATTAAGGGGGCTTTTACAAAATGTTTGAAATTATTTAAACTTAATTGTTTGTGGATGTCACCTATTCTATTACATAAGTTAATACTTCTACCAAGAAACGATTTCCTGGTTTTAGCTAGTCTAAACCTCGTTATTTCCAACGTATCACCACGGCCCCGACGCGATGTGGTATGTTTTTTTGTAAAGTGGTGTAAGTTATTTCGTACATACATGATGTTCTCAAGTATGTGTAGCGACGGGAGCGTTAAGATGTTTATCTTTTTAAAAATATGCCGAAGGGACTCACGTGGACCCAGGCCATAGACAGCCCGTATCGCTTGCTTTTGCAGTACAAATATCGTGTCTAAACCGGATGCGGAACCCCAAAGTAAGACACCATAAGACATAATACTGTGAAAGTAAGCATAATAAACTAATTTAGCTGTTGCCTCGTTTGTTAGTTGCCTGATCTTGCGTATGGCAAAGACGGCAGCGCTGAGCTTTTTAGCTAATTTATCTATATGCGCTCCCCATTGCAACTTGGAGTTAATGCATATTCCAAGGAATGTCGATAATATCGCTTGACGACCGTATTAGCGCAGTGGATAGTGAACATGTCAGAGGGTGTGTGGGCTACCTCATTCTCCGGCTACCTCATTCACCAGACGAAACGCAGAAGTATAACATTTCATGCCGGTCTTCTGTGAGGTCGTGTTACTTCCCTGGACGGACCTCACCATTCTGCCCCACAGAGAAAATGACACAGTAGTAATCGATAGATATGTAGCGTAGCTTTAATGATTTGGAAACTGTTTTGCAAACTACTCTGTGGTAGGGCCACGCAACTGTCTCGGCTGTTGCACGAAGGGACAGGCTCGTCCGGGTAAGTACCACAACCTCACCGAAGACCGGAGTAAAGTGAAAGCATAATACTTTCGCGTTGTGTCTGGTGAGTGACGTGGCCGGAGCAAAATTTTCAAAAGGTTGTCGACGCAACCCTCGGGTGTAGCGTCGGCTCGATTGGCAACTTTTCACATAAAATAAAAATAAAAAACTTAAGCCTGTCTCGTATAGAGCACTGATAATTTGACCCACACAGCTGGTAGACACCGCCGCGGTGGCGTGGACGCCGCAGCAGGACCTGGGCGATAGCAGCTCGGAGGGAGCGGGGGGCGTGGGGTGTGCGGGGGCGGCGGAGGGGGGCCCGCCCTCGCCCCCCGGCCCCGCCACCTACAGCCCCGGTGCGCAGCCGTTCAGCCTGTCACTGCCCAGGGAGCACCACGAAAAGGTTGGCACGCGCGTTCAAAAGTGCGCGGGATGTTGGCAACCCTGTGCATCCGAGACTGCCGCTTGCATACGCTCTTGTGTGTGTGTTTGCGTAACTATCAACGGGTTTAATAAATTTATGAAGGAAAAACTTTATGAAAACGGTTCTTATAATATAAATGAATATAATAATGACAATAACCCCTGGGAATGGGTCGATCGCTCCCTAGCTATTACTAAAAGAAAAAAAACAATTGTATGATATTTTAATTTATTTCAGAAAAAAAGAGACATAAAAGAGGATACCTGTGGAGTTTCTTTCGCCTGTTTCTTCTCCGTTAGAGGAACCTCATTACGAAGCGGTGGTAGATTAAACAAAATGACCAGCGAAAGAATAAATGTATGTTTCTTATGTCGATGAATAAATTATTTTGATTTTGTTCGATCGGGTGTTATTACCCATTTGTTACATAGATGTTTTACTGCTAAGCGTACTCTCGGATGCACCAAACCAGTATATATAAAAAGGTCCTCGATTTGTAAAGGACATTGTAACTAACAAACTAATACTGCCTAACCTCCCGCGCGCGCTGAGGGGGAGTGTAGGTAAACTTAACCGCTTCTCTGTCGCTATTTTCTAACCTTTGTACTAACTTTTACAATTACCACTACATACACGAATTGGCACCACACATATTGCACTTCCATCATATTTTTATTCTTTATATTTTATCATGTTTTTATTATTTATATTTAGTGTTGATAAAATAACAGGTTGTTAGACATATTCGTTTGATTAGATATTAGGCATACTGATATTAGATATAGACAACTGCTGTTCATTACATAATAATACGTAACATACATAATATCTTGCACATCATCGAAAGCACCCATAATTTTCTCTCATTATTACTCTAACATTGTATTCTTTTTTGTATGAATCCTACTCCTATTTTACTCTCCTTATTTGAAAAGAATACAAAAGAACCCTTACGCATTAAATGTCTCACTGAAAACTCGATACTTTCAGCGCATGATCGCATCTAAGTCTTATCTAGATTCCTCGTCAGCGTTCCTCTACGGAGCCAGTCTCTGCAAACGCCGCGTAGTGTAAAGGCACCTCGTGCTTCCACCGCTGCTTCCAGGGCAAGCAGCTGCAGCAGGGCTTCAACAGCCTGCAGAAGCTGAGGAAGTCCGTGTCCGGCGCGCTGGGCGCGGCGCTCAGCTCCCGCCGCTTCGACCTGGAGCACGAGCCGCCGCTCGAGGAGCCCGAGCGGAACTGGTTCCTCACCAAATCGGCTCCCAACTCCTTGAGCAACCCGCTGCTCTTCCAGCAGCCGCGGCGGGACGACGACGAGGAGCCGAAGGACGAGTATCCCGCCGATAAGGCAAGTAATACAGCCCATATATGTCCCACTGCTGGGCAAAGGCCTCTATACAGAGGGTATTAAAACAGTACACCGCGAGACGCCATCGGGGATTGGCAGACTTCACATATATTTTTACGGCCGGTTTCAATAATCAATCTACAGATGCATTCGGTTATTTGGTATCCTATCGCTAGTAACCAAATCTACGTGTAGGTAGAATATTGTCGAACAAGTCGTTAATGCTTCATCATGAGATATGTGTTAGTTTATATTTCTTTGTAAAACTCATTAAGTCTAAACCTAGGGATCGAGTTTAAAATTATTTCAATTGAACACAAAATGGCCACGATTAGTCAATCAATTTTGTTTATGTCAATGTTATTTACTAATTAATTACGTAAATAACATTGACCAATTGTGTTCATTTTGTGACCTATTTAAATTATTTGAACCGCCAAAGTTTTTTATTCGTTATTTATTATTAAGTTGGAGTTTTAAACTCTCCGAAGTGTCAAAGTATTGAACAATAAACTGTCTGTAGTTAGTGTCAAAGTATTTACCAATTGCTAAAAATCACTGACCATTATTGACCCATTCGGACCACTTTTTCAAAGTTCATTGTCATCATTTGGGCTTCTTATTAGATAGATGGAGCCGTAGAAATGGTGAGAAACGTCCTATTCTACTGCACGTGGCGTGTTCTGTTTCTCGATACTAGGTATTCACTTAACATCAGGTGAACCGTTTGCTGGCTTGGCAACTTTTCACATTAAAAAGAAACCTTCGGTTCAGGCCGCGGTGTGGGGCCGCGCCGGCAACTCGTACGTGTCTTGGGGAGGGCACGTGATGTACCTTCCTCCGCCGCCGCTGCCCGCCCAGCCACACTCCATGCTCGCCGCACTGGACAGGCCCGTCAGGTACCGGACAATCAGCTTATACTCATTCCCCGTCTCTAAGGAGATTGACCCCATAAAATACTCAAGAACATTTATTGTACATACTGCTAAATAAAAACCAGCAAAGTGTGAATCGGACTGGCGCACGAATGGTTCCGTACCATTATTTTTATAAACGTTGAAAAATTATGTCTGTTGTACGGGAGTTCCCTTAAATATTTTTTATTTCATTCCGTTTTTTTAGTATTTTTGTCATAGCGGCAACAGAAATACATCATCTGTGAAAATTTCAACTGTCTAACTATCACGGTTCATGAGACAGCCTGGTGACGGACGGACAGACAGCGAAGTCTTAGTTAGCGAAGTTTAACCCGTTGGGTACGGAACCCTAAAAAGACATTATGTGCATGTGATATCACTAAATCACCGCGCTGTTCCCGTAATCCCAGTAAACGGTAACAACGGTGTGTAGGTTTTTAAGTCGAGTAGTAATAATTCAAGATGCTGCGGGCCTCATAACCAAGGGCTTTACAGCAGTGATAAATAAAAAGTTTAGACATTCTTAATATTTTTCGTATTATTTTTTTATTTTTACTTTCAGTCTTTCTGCCTTAAGATGAAACTATAAATTGTAGATAAATGAACAAAACCATTCAGTGCTGCGGGGTTCACTAAGAGGCGCCAAGCATTGCTAAAAATGCTATAGAAGTAACGTAGATAGATGTCGAGATCTTGGCGCCACGAGCTCACCGGCCGCTTGGCTTAGTTGGTAAAGCGACACGAACCCAGAAGTCACCAATTCGAATCCATCAGTTTACAATTTGTAATATTATTCACATACGGCTTACCTAACTTAAAAGCAATCACAACAAAATTACGTTGGAACGTCGATCAACTTAATTTAGCGTTTCCTCTTGAGGGAACAGACAGAAGGCACCCACAAACCTTCTAGAGTTTAGATGTCAGTGATGGATTTGATCAGTTGGTCGCCTTAGGCATATACAGGATTGCCACCCACTACTAGCTGTAAGGCACGAAAAATTATATGATGAATAGGAATAAAATAAAAAATAATACCTACTCATCATGGCTGCTTGATTTTTTTTTTATGAAACATCGTCGACTAAAAAAAGATCCCACCAAGTTTTACCGCCCCATTTTTTTTTCCTAAAATCCTTTATAGATCCCCTGCTACTGGTATGTGGGAGTCCTGGAAACGGTTACCCACTAAAAACCCACGTCTCTGTCGCATCGGCCGGGGACGCTGGAACACGTGGACGCAATCTTCCGCGACCCCGGCGCTTTGGCCGCCCTAGGCCCGGGCCTTTTTGGCCTATAGGGAAATCCCCCATGTTTGATTCAGAAAGTGTATCCTTTACCAAGATCTTTGGACGAATGCTTTTGTTTAGGAGCAAATCGAGCGGTTGCTTGGAAGCGGCCGCGCGGGCGGCCCGCTCTGCTCGGGCCGCTCTTGCGGGGGAGATGCGTGAAAGGGAGCGATCTGCGTCGCCGGAGATGGCTCGAGCGCTGCCGGCGATCGTGCGCCCGACACAAGTAAGTACACCATTTAAATTGCGTTTCCTTATAGACAAATGAACGAAAGACATTGTAGATAAATGTTCGAACCAGTTTCGCGTCCAGACGCTTTACCAACTAAGTGGCTGATGACCACACAACGTGAAAATTTATACCGAACTTGCCTTATAGCATCTCTGCCGCCGCCGCAGCGGCCCATTAACACAGTCAACGGCCATTGGGGCACATCCTGTTCCGGACCTCAATGGCTTTAGTTGTCATTCCGTGGCCCTATCTATCGCGGAGGCCCTATCAAGCTCATTAGATTCGGCTATAATAAGAGTTGTACGTTCCACTTTAATTTTCTCCTTCGCTTCTTCTCTCCCTCTTACTTTACTCTTTAGATGGAGCGTTACACGATTTCCCAGTGCGAAACACACTGGTCATAGTTCGTCGTTCATCAAATATGTCACCTTTTCCATTGAACCATTTCTATTACCGTCACAATTATTCCTTTAAAATTACGTGCATCTATCACGTTCTTCCTACCCTTAAGTTGAAAGAGTTAAGTTGGACGTCCACAACACAAGTATATATATAGTCTATTCGAGTGCAAACAAAGCCCCACATTCTTACACAATCGGACTGCAACAGAAAAACCACGCTAATTACTCAACGTTAATAAGCCCAAAAACATCGCGGTACGTTTGTTTATCTGTTACGGCGTGCATTCTCAGTGTAACCGCGAGAGTATCAACCGTGTATCAAATAGAAATTAATTGTTATGGCTTTTTTTTAATTACATTAACTCACCGTACGATAATATTATCATATGTAGGGATATTTTATAAAAAAAACTACACACGGACACGCTCGAATCCCGTACAATTATATTTGGGTCACGCAAATACCTGTCCCGTGTGGGCATCGAACTCACCACCCGTGGTTCGAAGCCTTGACAACTGCGCCCTGAAGAATGATCTTCTTAATGATCAAAATGATCAATTCAAAGAGTTTAACAATCCGTTTGGCAACTCAAATGACATTGGAAAAGCCATTTGACAGCTGATTAGTTTGATTCTACGATGATCAGTGTTTCAGAAACCGGGCGTAAGTCGATAAATTACTGTGTTTATTTAATTGTATTGGATATTTTTCATAAACTCTCGCAATTGAAACTTCCTTCTAAACAATGAAGCTCATTGCACTATTTTTGGTCACGTCTTACGTTGAAGCCCGATTCCGAAGGGAAGTTAGTGAAACACAACCTAACAGATCTATCGTTATAATTAAAAGGAGTACTTTTTCGTGTTTAATTATCGTCGAAATGCGCGTGCGCTGCGTTAAGCGGTGTATTCCTGGTAACGCTCAAATAAAAACAAAACCACGTGTGTTCGGACAATTCCCACGGCTCGCCGGCAATTAGCACGGGGGGACTCGACGCGGCTCCGCACTTTTCGGGCCGTGGGACCGTCAATACAGCGCTGCGTTTACGTGATACATGACCATCGGAGTGCAGTCCTTGCAGGGGAACTCGAGCTAATTCTTATCCCGAACCCTCTGTTTTTGTATCGGAAGGGAAATCTTCGAAAGACAACCTGTCACCTCACATGCCGGGGTTATGTGGGGTTCTTACCTGCTATAACCCCCTCGGTACCTTCTGCATGTTTGGAGGGATTCCGGGATCTCCTGTGGATCGCACCGGTGTCCCTAGGTACTGGGCGTGAGTTCGCCTCGGAGAAGGATAACGTTCCCCGCTTCCCTCGCCATGTTGCAAAAGCACGAGACCACTTCGTGCTGCTGCCAATCCTTGTCTCCTTTTAGTCGCCTTTTACGACAGGCAGGGGATACCTTATCCCTATTCTATGAGTCCGGGACTATACGCCTGATCCCGAACCCTCTATCATTTATCAATAGCGCCAAACGGAACCCAAACAAACAAAACTATGTACCTCATGTTCATAGAAGTTTATAACTCGCCAGAAAGGAATAAAAAAAAACATCATCCTCCTGCCTTTATCCCAAATAGATGGGGTCGGCACAACATTTGAATCATGTTGTAAGCGGTTTTGGCAAAGTTTTTTACGATCGGCCTTCCTGCCTGACGTCAACCCTCTCTAGGAAACAATTATCTGTGGGTCAAATAAATACTTGTCCCGTGTATGAATCGAATCTACTACCCCTAACGCAGAAGTCAACAGCTTAGGAACGGAGCCACTAAGTTCTAGTCAAAATACTACTCCATTCGGGTCCGGTCTAAAAAATATTTGATAATTTACAAATAACCACGTAGATATCCACTCAGTTACATAAACCCATTTCGATAATTGTTTTATTATATTTTAATATATATATTAATTAACTGTAAGCTCCTAATTACCTCCTCGCGTAATAAATAGAAACAAACGATACTTCTTGTTACGAGTACTAATTCGATGTGCCTACGAATTGGGAATTCGTGACACATTTATCTCCGATAACACGGGCAATGCGCGAATACACGGATCTGAATCGCCTCTTGATCCGTCCAATTATTCGTCTCCAGTCACGAGATCGTGTCGCTGAATGTGTTCTATGTGCATGGTGTTCGTGTACCACAAGTGTGGGTTGCATTAATGTATAGTATGTGATATGAGCCGATGAATGTGAGCAGGTATAACATTCATAATTACTTTACTTAATTTTAAATAGCTATTGCTTATAGCCATAATATTGGATCATAATATGTTAAGACGTAAGAGTTTTCCAGGTATCTGACAAAATTCTAAAGACTGATTGATCCAAACAGCGAATTGAATTATTATTGGAACAAAATATTAAGAAAAATATACCAAGAGTAAAAAGGCTTTGACAAATTCCACAGACTTATTATAGTATAAAAATCATTATAGTATAAAAAATCTATGATAATTTTTTAACAAAAATACGGAATTGAGCATTGGTGGCCCAGTGGCCGGGGACGTCGACCGTCGAACTGTAATCGCAGGTTCGATTTCGAGCAGTGAACACGAATGAGGAAATAGGAAATTCCGAATTTCTTACGAGCCAAAATAACGACTGGGTGATGACTGGCTCACATCTGCCATGTTTCGGAACTTTAACTGAGTGATTACACGAATAACATTGTCTCTGTTCACGCTGTTAACTTTAATAGACTTGAGGGCAAACGTCGAGAATCGCCCGAACGTTCGAAACACTTTTCTAACTCGTTACCAACTACTCAATTAACATACTTCTAAATCAACAGTTACAAATTGTTGAAGACACAAAAAACTTACCTCACCGTATTCAATTTAATGCCGTTGCTCAGAGAATTATCGTTTGGTCCACTGACCAATGCATTTAATCAATACGTGTGAGGAATTCATAATTTCACATACAAGGAAGAGGAACTGAATTGTACTGTGTGTACGCAAAATACATATTGAATGCTAGCATATGATATTATCTACGATCATGGCACGTGTATTTACACTAAGATCTATAATTTAACGTCTAATTATATAGACAAATAGCTATAGGTATAAATATTTTCGGGACATATGTCTACACGTTACCTAGTCCCAAACTAAGCAAAGCTTGCGCAATTGTTACCAGGTAACCAATGAACATACTTTTCGTTTGTGAACAAATACATATTATCTCTATAATCACAATATTTTGCCAGTAATGTGCAAACGTGAAACAAATGAGAATCGAAGCCACACTGGCGCTAGAAACAGATTCACTATCCACCCATCGGGTCGTGTCTAAGTAAGTGATGATTAAGTCGAGAGCTTAGTAGAGACTCTCATCCTAATACTCTGTCAATTTGCAAATTAACTTAACTACATAAAATGGTAATAAAAAGATCTGTCGTTTTTGTCCTTAACTGCACTTAATAAACTTGCGTAATATTAGATACTAACTGTGGGTTCTATATGTGAAATATAAACAAAACATAGGTTCAAATCATTAATTGCTCAATCTTGTACGGCCTAACCAATGATGCAGTAGATAAGACACTAACGCATGGAAACTGAGGCACTCAAATTAAGCCAATTGGTATAATTAGCTTGCAATTCTATAGACTGCTATCTTTTTCCGTATCATACGTTCTATATCATCTGGCATATTCAGTTATATATGTCATATGACGTAGAGCGATACAACTTTTAAACGCCGCGCAGTATGGACATGCGTCATCTATATATTAATACGTGAAGCAAAAACTTTGCACCCCCGTATGAAATTTTCCACACTTATAGTTTATATAAAGAAGGAGTGCAGAATGCACGTTTTTTTTTTTTTTTTTCAATTATGCTTAAAAATACATTAAATTAATAAACAAAAAACGTACACTCTAACGTGTATAATTAATTATGGTTGAATTTCGGCCACCACCAGTATATAAAAACATATGTATTAAAACATCATTGGCCCTAACACTTCGGAGTGAAATTTGCATTACTTAATATTTACACGACACGGTGACTTAAATTTGGCGGATAGCGGTCGACTGGTCTGTCTATTCTAACGTCCGGTTTCTGAAACACTGATCGTCGTATATGTCAACTAATCAGCTGTCAAATGGCTTTTCAAAGTTTATTTTAGTTGCCAAAAGGATGGTTAAACTCTTTGAATTGATCATTCCGATTATTGAGAAGATCATTCTGGTCAAATCAGAGAGTTTAACCATCCTATTGGCAACTAAAATGAACTTTGAAAAGCCATTTGACAGCTGATTAGTTGACATATACGATGATCAGTGAGTGTTTCAGAAACCGGGCGTAAGATTAAAGAGGTGAGAGTTGTTGCATTCATTATTGAATAGAATGTGGCGCGTGTGAACCAGCCCTAGGCGCGTACGGTGGGGGCGCCGCGGCGTCTCGCACGTGTCGGCTCATCGCCAGTCCTCACTCCTCAGTCATTCCGCGAGATCGTCCATAATCGAGTGCGTGCGCCGAACAGGTTTGTTGTGACTGTATCTTTAAATGCGCTGATTGTCTTTCGAGGTTTTTATTTTATTCTCTTCGTTAAAGCCTCCTTTTAATAGTAGG